AAGGCGTGTTTTAAATTCAATTTTGTTCTCAGGATCCTCATCTTTCCTAAAAATAGAAAAAGAAAATATTGATGGGGAAGGGGGTAGTAAAAATAGAAGAAAATGTTGTGGGGAGCACTAAAATATGTCCCACTTTGAGTGTCCACTTCCAACTGTCAAGCCCTCTCTGTTGCTGACTTACTTGGTTTCCTTTTGGGGCTTTTCCATGAGTTCCTCTTCCTCTTTCTCTTTGCTGGCAATCTCAGCACGCACCTAACAAAGTACACAAATGTAAAGAAGGAAGTGAGGATCCGAGCCCTTAATAGCACCAGTGTGACAAGGGAAGACATCCCCAAGGAATCCAGTCACAAGTTCTACAGACAAGCCACCTATAATTCTTCTGCCAAACTAATGGTCTGGACAACCATGTGACTTTCACTTCACACAAATGTCCAAAATGAACATTTCTATCCACATCTTTAAATAGAACTCACCTTCTGAAGCAACGCAAAATCCAAACCTTTCACCAAATGGGTGTGTTCCATATCACCACCCAAGAATTTAGACTCCTGAATCAATTGTCTTCTCTTCTCTGCTGCTGATTTGTCCCTGAATAATGAAAGAACCATATTGAAACAATCCTTTATGAATGAGACAAATTCCTTCTGAAATGTCAGAGTGTGCTGCAGAACAGGTTAAATTATAAGAAACATATAGTGTAACTGTATCTCTGACAGGATGAATACAGGCCTTAGGATCCCCTACTCACGCCTCAGCAGTGGGGCCCACGGCCCTGTAGTTGGCTGTGGTACTAATCAGCTCAGTTTCCTCATAATCTTTGTTTACACCATCTCTCCGTTCCTTGGCACGGTCCCGGTATTTCTCTGCAAGTTCTCTCTCTCTTTCAATTTCTTGCTGGCGAAGCTTGGCATAATAACTGTGATCAGAGAAAGGAAATGTACAGCTTACCAACTCCTATCTCACGGCCAACACAAATAATCCTCTTTCCCTATACTTTTAAGTAGCTCTCTGTGGTAAAAACTATGTATGTCCTGATAGAACTACTAGTCAATTCTTGATTGTTCTCAACATCAGAATTTCAGTCTCCTCTAACTCAGATTTTCTCTTTTACTACTACCATCTGCCCTCTCACAGGTGTACTTTCACAATAGGAAACCCCACCTGTTACTATATAACTCCTCTGCTCCTTTGCCCACAAACAGTACTCACCTTACAAAGCAATCTCCTCCACCATCCCTTTACCTTTTCTTTTTCCTCCTTCGTGCAGCTGGGTCTTCATCCTCATTGTACTCTCTTGGCATCCTAGAAGATACAAGAAACTCACTCATAGTAAAACAATGCCCCAGCCCTTAAAACTCACAAGTCATTGAGAACACATCAGAGGCTGAGATAATACAATAAATTCAAGGCCAGCCTGAACTATATGGTAAAGTCTAATCAAGTCTAGACAGTGTCTCCAAATACAAACAAAAAGAGCAGAACAGCCAGTTGTGACAGCACACACCTTTGAGCTAGGCACTCAGCAGATCTCTGTGATCACAAGGCAAACCTTGTCTACACAGTGACAAGGCTAGCCCATGGTTACATAGTCAGACCATTCTTAAATAAGAGAGAAAAGAAAAAGGAAAAGAACACAATACAAAAACCAGTGTTGATAAGGCAGTCATAATATTATCAATATCTGTATCTCTCAAGTTTTAAAAAGCATCATAAATATCTAATTGACATTAACCTAAAAACCTGTGTAGACTATACAGTAATAACAGGCCCAGAAATCTATCCATTTGCACAAGCAATGACTCTATGACCAATGCTCATGAAGGAGTAGTAAGAACCAGAGCATCCCAGTCATCACTGAAACTTCAGTCTCTATAGAGAAAAGATCGTAAGCAAACTCTGGTTCCACAGAAATGAACAGACAGAAATAAAAAAAGACTTACTCATGGTGACGTGACTTAGAAGGTGGTGCAGAAGTAGGTGCAGCTCTTGGGGTCATAAGAAGTTTCCTGAAGTCTTCATTGGTAAGTTTTGATCTGTAAGAAATTGCAAAACAAATTAAAATTAGTAGCCAATAGGAAAGAAGCCTGTAAAATACATGATTAACTTTACTAAAACAACAGAAATGCCAATTTCAACACATTACTGTTAACTACTAGAAGTTCTTGGTTTTTTTGTTGTTGTTTTTTGTTTTGTTTTATTTTGTTGTGTGTTTGTTTGTTTGTTTTTTAAGACAGAGTTTCTCTGTGTAGCCCTGGCCATCCTAGAACTTAACTTTATAGACTAGGCTGTCCTTGATCTCAGAGATTCACCTGCCTCTGCCTCCCAGGTACTGAGATTAAAAGTGTGTGCCACCTCCTGGTTCAGAAGTTTCACTGAATCAAATGTGAATGAACTTTTTTGGAACATGGATAATCTCATATAGTTTTAGAAATGCTGTGCTGGGGGCTTAATTCTTTACTAAAACAAGGACACAACGAAGGGGGAGGTTTAGTAAAAAATGAGACTTGCAGGTCATAGGGGCACATATAGTGACAAAAAATGTAAAAAATGAGGCAGGAGGATGGCTAATCTGAAGCAACCCTGGGCGACAATACCTTAAAGGGTAAGGGAATAAGGCCCTAGGTTCAATCCTCAGCATTACCAGAGATTGCGGGAGGGGGCAGAGAGAGACAGAGACTCATAGGTTGGAGTGTAGGAGTACATGCATATAATCCCAGCACTTGAGAGGCTGAGACAGGAGAATGATCAGATTAAATCCTTTCTCAAATAAATAAATAAAAACTTTAAAAATAGTAGTTCTGTATGAGCCTGCAACCTCCACACTCAGGAGACTTGAGGAAGGAGGAATATACTAAGTTCCATGCCAGTCTAGGATAAAGTGTGACCCTACCTCCAAAAGAAAGGGCTGGCAAGAGAGCTGAGTGGGTAAAGTGCTTATCGTACAAGCCTAACAATCCAAGTTCAGGTCTCCAGAACCCAGGTAAGAGCTGGGCACAGCAGCCCAAGTGTCTGTAATCCTAACACAACCCTTGTCTGGAGATGGGAGGTAGAAACAGAAGAAGCATCAGAAGCTTGCAGGCCTACCACTGGCTGTCAGCAGTGAACAAAAGAAACCCTGTCTCATAACAAAGTGGAAGATGAAGGCCTAACCCCAAGGTTATATCCTCTATCTCCACATGTGCACCTACCCACACACTCAAAGTAATAGTAAATACAAAAGGGACTGAATTTGTGAAGTTACAAAAGACAATTTCACTCTCATTTCCAATGCTTAATTTTCACCAGGGAAAAATCTTTTATATGTAATAAAGCAACACAAACACTAGACTCTTCCTGGCCATAACTTCTCTTCTAATACTTTTATGTAGCGTTCCTAATTCACTTAAGATTCACAGAGATAAAGAGCTAAATGTTCCAAATTTTTTACCCTTTTTTTTTTTTGTCCATATGACTTATAAAATTAAGCATAGTTACACCATCTTGGTAAGGTAAGTGAACTTATGGCAAAGCTTTCTGCAAGAAAAAATAAGTTTAGCATGTTGTAAACTTAGCATTTTCCTCTCAATAAACCATTTTCTATGAACTGTTGGCCCATTCTTTTTTTTTTTTTTTTTTTTTTTTTTGGTTTTTCCAGACAGGGTTTCTCTGTGTAGCCCTGGCTGTCCTGGAACTCACTCTGTAGACCAGGCTGGCCTTGAACTCAGAAATCCGCCTGCCTCTGCCTCCCAAGTGCTGGGTTTAAAGGCCCACGCCACCACTGCCCGGCTCTGTTGGCCCATTCTTGTCAGCAAAGTACTCTGAATTCTTTCACCCTCTCTACCATCTTTCTTGCTCATTGTCAACTCATTGCATACTCCAAAGAGGAAATACTCACTGGTGGAAGGAATGAGGATCATCCACATCGTGGCCATCTGGGGCCAAGGGGTTTGAGAAGGGCTCACCTTAAAGGAAAAAAAAAAAAAGACACTAAATCAATCATTCATTTAATGTGTGAAGTGCCATACAAAAACTAGCGATTATAAAAATGAACAGCACTGTAGACAAGAGGGGCAGAGATTATACAGTAAGTGCTGAAATGGGAGGACTACAAGAAGCTGTATTACCAGAAACCGAGTGGTGGCCCACGCCATAATCCGAGCACTAGGGAGCCTGAGGCAGCAAGACCATCGAGATTTCGAGGCCAGTTTGTGCTACATATCCAGATTATCTCAAAAAGAAACGAGCAAAAGAGCTGTGTGTGGCGGCATGCACCTGTCACCCCAGCACTTGACTAGTGGAAACAGAAATATGAGTTCAAAACCCGCCTCCGTTCTAGCTCCTAGCTCACTTGAAAAAAAAGTTATAAAGCCGGATTTTCTTAAACGAAGAATCAACAATCTTTTCCCCTCCCCCTTAAAGATCGCTTCTACAGCACTACATCAAAGAGCTCAGCATCCGGTAATCCCGAATACTTGGGACTTTGAGGTTTGCCTGAGATCAGCGTAGCGCGCCCCTCCCCTCCCGCGTCAAATAAACAAACCAAGTCCCTAAAGAGAGGCACAAGCCATGGTTTACTAAGGAAGGGATAGGGAGGTAGAGCTGCCTCGAAAATTCAAAACGCCGGTCTTCAACACAGAAACGAAATTTGAGGACAGCTTAGCTAGGCCTCTCCTAAGGAGACTCCAATAGTCACATGACACCTGGCTTAAATTCAGCAAACTCAATGAGCCTAGTGTCGCTAGTCCCGCGTGCAAGAATGGTTGACTCGAGCCTCACTATCTCGTTCTGGCATTTTGGCCGCTGTCTCTCAACGCCGGCAATCGCGAAATCTCCTCCACAAAACAGCGGCGACAAACTTTTATCCACAATGCACCACGAAAGCCAGCTACAGTTCTTTGCGTTCTGAGCCTTCCGGCTTCCTTCGCGTCACTACCAAGCTACCGCTACAGAGGCCTCATGTCATTGGCTAAGATTTATCCCGCCCCTCTCTACGTCATCCAATCTATGGCAGAGACTAGAGGTGCCGCTATTGGTCCGATTGGGGGTGCCTCTCAGGTCGTGATTCGGCGCGCCTTTGCTAGCAAAGATGGCGGCCGCTGCCAGCCGAGTTGCTGGTGCTAAGCTGGGGCTGCGTGAGATTCGCATTCACTTATGCCAGCGTTCCCCGGGCAGCCAGGGTGTGAGGTGAGGCGTAGCCTGGGAAGACGAGTGGGCTTCGGAAGCTGAAGCTATGACCTTGACCTCCGGGGAGAGGGGGTGGGGTCCGTGTACCTTTGCCCGCTAGCTGCAGTCTCTCCTCTCACCCTGCAGGAATTTCATCCTGCAACGGTATGTGGAGCTGAAGAAGGCGCACCCCGACCTGCCCATTCTAATCCGCGAATGTTCGGAGGTGCAGCCCAAGCTCTGGGCCCGCTATGGTGAGTACTGGTCGCCGGAGGTCAGGGGCCCGGGTTGCAGAATGGGATGGAGAAATGAAGGGGCCTCCCAACGTCGTGGGAAAACGGGGCTGAAGAACCAAAACTCGAACTGATAAAGAAATTCACTTTTACTTAGTCGTGTGATGCTTTTTATTCATGGCAATATATATATGAGGTATAACTAGGTCTTGGGCTAGACTTAGGAATTTCTTGCAGCTCAGAGTGTACTTCATGTAAGACATGCTTCTCCATGTCAGCGTAGGTCCTTCAGAATCACGTCTTAGCCAGTTCAACAAATTCAGGGACTGAGAATTTTACTAACGTTGAGCACCTTATGCTTACAGCTTGCGCTGGGTACTTTAACTCATTCTCATTAGTCTTTATTAATGTTGTGAATGGGTGCTTTTCTTTTGTAAATGTTGGAAAACTAAGTCTAAACGTTATGGAACACGCCTAAAATTATGAAGCTCAAATAGGATAGGATTGCATTTTGTGCGCCTTCCTTACAGCATACTATGGTTGACTCAGGTTGTTACTTGCATATTACTGTCTCAAAAAGGCATTCCTGGGCCAGCCTGTAAATCCCAGCTTTAGATACTCCCAGGCAAATGCAAGAGGGTCACAAATTCAAGGCCTGTCTGAGGCTATAGTGAATTCAATGCCTTAGTAGGAAATGTAGTAAAATGTTATCTCAGAATTTTAAAGATACAAAGAAAATGGTGATTGCCTTTCATGTGGGAGGTTTGACCATCAGTACCAAAATAAGGCATTCCCTGACCAGTTACAGCACTGCCTCTCACGTTACACTAGTCCTATTTATTACCACAATCTGAAATTTTGTTAATATGTTGACTAACAGTAAGTAATACTTAAACTAAATGGTGACATTTTAATCATTTCAACCCTGACAAAGGACTTTCTGTGGGTGGGGAGAGTCACATCCTACTACAAATTTGTTGTAATCAAGACTCCTATAAACTAATAAAACAGGTTTCCTCCTAACGCACATAGGACCTACAGAAGTAACTTTTTAGTGTGTAGTGCTGTATGTGTATAGTACCACATATTATGCTAAATGGACTATAGCAGACCAAAAAGTGGACAGTCAGCCAAGGCTAGACCCTTGGTCAGTAGTTAATGCCTACAGTGACCTTAGAGCATCACTCAGATACATTTCTTCCCATACAAAATTATACTAGGATCTGGGATTTTTTTAATAGATTGACTGAATTAATGTTAAGTACAGCAAAACCACTTTTTTTAATGGCAGGATTGCACTATATAGCCATAGTCAGCCTGGAACTGGCTGTGTAGCCATGAGCCACTATGTTTAGTGAACCATATCTTTCCTTTCTTATCCTAACGACTTTGAAAAAATACCCTTTATGATTTTGTGGCCCCATTATGCAGGATATTCATTTAAATCCCCTTTCCTCAGCTTTTGGCCAAGAGAAGAGTGTGTCTCTGAACAATCTGAGTGCTGATGAGGTAACCAGAGCCATGGAGAATGTGCTAAGTGGCAAAGCCTGAAGTGTCTCCACTGAGGACGGTGAGCAAGAGCACCAGAACCTATTGACTGAAGACAATGTGGGGAAATGTGTTCTTTTGGTCCTTATAAAGCTTAACGCTGTACAGTGTTGCTTTAGAATGTCCTCGTTACCTTCTCCCTCTTACTGCACAAACACTGAGGCAAAGTAGTTTTCTATAAAAATACTATTTTATTTCTCACCAAAAAACACCAGCTGCCAGCTGTGATGTCACATGTCATTAACCAGCTTGCTGAAAAGGATGAAACAAGACAATCTCAAGTGCAACACCACACTCAGGTATACAAAGAGCTACTAGCTTCTAAAACAAAATAGGAGACCCTAGGATAAATATGTCATAGAGGTAAGGGGTGACATTAAGCAGCCAGGTCATCCATGAATAGCAGCTGTCTGTTGGAGAGCATGTATCCTATCCTGAAGCTGAGTTTCCTCCTGATGCTTTTCTAGGGCCTGCAGCCCTGACTGCTGCAGGAAGGCCTGGGCAGCCTGAGGATAGAGAAGGACCAACATTTAAACCCTAAAACCCAATTCCTGGAATTCCATGGGCTAGCCCTCTTCTTAGATGATACATTCCTAACAAGATGAAGGATCTGACCTTCAGCCCACATAGGCTAGCCTTCCCCAGAGAAACAAATGTAGGTAGGACTGGACGAGAAGGGCACCATGGTAGGATCAGTGGCTTCTGACCAAGAGATTGCAAACCAGACCCACCTCTGGCTGATACAAGAATAGCAGCTGCAGCAGCTCCAAACTCTGGCCTACTACTTCGGTGTCAGAGAGAGCCAGTGTGTTAAGCAAGCAGGAGAGCAGGGGTCCTGGCCACAACCGCTGGCAGTAAGCTGGACCCTTCTCTACGACATTGCACAGAACTGTAAGCACCTGCAGACACAAAGACATGCCCCCCCAACAAAAGATGAAAATCAAAAGTTATAATAGGATATAACTATGTACCCAAGCACTACTACAGGCTCTTTTACATGTCATTCCCACAACCACCTCTGAGATATTACCCATTTATAAGGGAAGAGACTGGTACTTCCAGTATTCTGCTCATTTACCCAAGGACCATAAACAGTAATCAGGCTTAAAGATTTACACCTAGACTGTACCAGCTCTGAACCCATACCACACCATCTACCAGCTCTCAGTTAAGGGTACTTAAGAAAGCCCAGGTCTGTTCTCCCTATTTGCTTTGACCAGCAGTTCATGAATTCAGACGTTACGCCAATACATACCAACATGCATACCACATTTGATAGTGGCAGCAGCTGCAGGAGCGGCTCGATCAGATCCAGAGAGAGCAAAGAGGTACAAAAAGTAGGACTATTTGCTGAAAAGGAAAATGTCACATGAAGTACCTTCAGCTATGAACTGCTACCCCCACAACCCTACCCACTACAACCTAGGCCATGAAGAACTAGCCTCTATATAAAAGTCCATATTCTGCTCAGTCTCAAATAAGTACTGCTGCTATCCAAATAGGAGGCACAAGGGCCTTCAAGGATAAGAACTATGTCCCTGGAGCATGTGCAAGCAGACTTTAGTATCGTCCTTGAGTCTCTGCACCCCCACATTCCATTCCATGAGGCCCCTGACCACAAATGTAGCCCCAGAAGGATAAGAAGATCAGATTCTTCCTTAACTACAACTTTGAGGAACCACCATTTCCAGATCTCAGGTTGGGATTGATGAGGACAGCATCTCCTCCTAAGAGGAAATGGGCACATTCTGTCCTGTTGCTGAAGTCCCCTGCCCTCGATTCTTCTAGCCCAATTGTTCCCACTTCCTGTCTCTAGTAGCTTCAAGCTCTGAGGTCAGTGTACCAAGAGGCTAAATATGCCATGAAAGAAAGGGTTTTGTGTTTGTAACATGTTTATACCTGGCATCTAGTACTCAACGTGTGAATACATACTAGGAAGTCAAGGGGACTCATTTGTGTGTACTACAGATGAGCTCCCTTGGGTGTGCAAGACACAGTGTGTCCACATGGGGGAGCTCTTACTTCATTTTCAGTCTCCTAATTGCAGGAACTTGAAGCCAAGGAAAGAGACCGGTGGCTAGCTGGGTCTACTTCCAGTGCACTTGATCTGGAAGATTTTTCTGACCGAAGCTTCAACAGAGTTTTTTTTACATAGCATCTTTGGCAATAGTTGGTAAGCAAGCTAAGGTTGAGAAACAGGAAGAGGTGTAGGGTTGTTAACCCTGAGGAAGAGGTAGGGATCCGTGGGATTGCTTTCATCTCATCCTGAAGGGACTGAGACCCAGGCAATTTATTGGGAAATTGGAGAGGAAAAGATTGCCTAACAGCCATGGGTAAATAGAAGGAGGGTCTTCCTTCAAAGGGGTCCTTTCAGGGACCCAAGGACCCACCCCCTGCAAGATGGTTGTAAGATGAGAAACCTTCACTGACAGGGTAGGGGAAGGTATGGACCCCTCCTGTAGTTTTTGAATTGTCCCTAGTTCCATCCTCCCTTATTCCCTGCCTTTCTCTCAATCTGTATTTTCTTTCCTAACAAATCTACCCTTCCTTTGGCCTTAATAAATATTTTAATGATGGTAAAAGACCAGGCCTAGGCAGAGTGTAATAGATACCAGTGAGGTTGTTGAGGAGCCAGAGGCCCTCAGGTAGCAAGGCGGGCTGTTTCTGAAGGAAGAACTGGAGAAAGATAAACAAGGCTGCCACAAGTCTCTCGTCTCTGAGCTCCATTTGCTGTCCCATGGCCTCCACTGGCACTTCTGTTAACAGGTTGCTTAGACACCGAAGCACAGGGCATGCAAGCTGCAAAGACAAGGTGAGCATAATAGAAGGAGAAAAAGGCAGCAGAGACATTGAGGTAGAGTGTAAGGCAAGTCCCACAGACCCTCTCCCTTACCAGCTCTAGTCCCACATCATCCATTCTCTGCACAGCCCCAGCCAAGTCCAACAGCAGCAGTGCCAACGTGGGCAGAGCCCCATGGGTGAGGAGCACAGCATTGTTGACCTGGCTGGGTGACAGGAAGCAAGTAGTCACTATCAAGTCAATCCTACCTTTAAGCTACAAAACAACCCAGTCGGTGGGTTTCCTAAGCAAAAGAAAGCACAACAGAGGGATGAAAACTCACCAAAGCAATTCCAGAAACTAAATTCAGTCTGAAGACTTAAGTCATATGTAGGGAGCCCTAGGAAAGACATTTTTCCCAATTGGCCTGTTACCTGCAAATGATATAGTGAAGGCACCAGGCAAACTCCATCGCAACCCCAAGATTCAGCTTTGGGCCTGGTTGCATCAATCGTAGCATCTGCTGGGGAAGGCTGGAGTCCAGAATACAGCTGCCAGCAAAAGCAGACTGTGAGCAGGAACCGTGGAGATACCAATGGCTCCTCTCAAAACCCCAAATTCTCCCTAGCCAGGGAGTCAAAATGTGGAAATCAGATCTGATCAAGCACCCATGGGCTATACTACCAAGAGAGTCAACCATAGCTGAGCATCTAAAGATATAATTTTACTCACGGAATGATCTTCTCTGGAGCTTCCTTAGCCTGCAGAAGCTGGGACAAGGCGTATCCAAGGGCTTCCAGCACAGCCACATGGGGGGACTAGAAACAAACAGGGTAAGGATCTGACTGGAAAATAGGTTAAAGGGATCCAGACTTTTAACCCTTTGACAATGGGTAGAGGTTGGAGCTACCTAGCTAAGCCAGTAAGCGTGTGGAGAGAAGCTAGGGGAGGCTTGCTAGGGAGAGACCAAGGAAGCACTCACCTGGATGCAGGCAGCAAAGGCTGGAACAATGCCTTGTGGCAGAAGCTGCTTCCTCACAGCCTCGCTCTCCACGATAAGGTTCCCCAGGGTGTACAGACACAGCTCCTGAGAGCAGGCAACAAAAGCACTGGGCTGGGCTCATCTCACACCAAGCCAGAAATGAGAGAAAGAAGATGGCATGCCCCTGTCCTCAAAGCTCACAAGAGAGGGGAGATGATGGCTACGTGTACTGTTTTTTTATTTTCCTGTACCTGCTACCTCAAGCTGGCCCCAGAGGCATATATAAACTCTAAGCCCAGAGCAAGGGTAAAAGGAACAGGCCTTACTATGAAGTCTGAGCTGTGACCAGAGAGGTAGGTGAGGAGGTAGGAAGTAGCTGGCAGGCAGGCCTCAGCCACCGCAGAGTGCTCAGAATGAGAGAGCTCATGAAGGCACCGAGCCGCCTCAAGCTGCAACAGGGCCCGGTTGCTGGTCAAGAGCCCGACAAGGATCCGCATGCTGCCCTCCAGCCTACATGAATGACACCAGAACCCTGCTAAGCGTGGGGTCTATCCCCTCTACTCTCATCCCTGGAAAGCCCCAGCCAACTACTCATACCACCCACACTGACCTGATGAAGGTTTGCTGTGTGTCAGGGTGCTGCAAGCCTCGACGAAGGCTGACCAGAGCCTTCTCTCTCTCCTTTTCATCTGTTCCCCGTTGGGCTAGCCGAAGGAACTGTTGGACCTGGATCCCAGAACAGGATGACATGTAATTGCCATGAAGCACATCCTAAGTCTCTTGTCTACCAACTTCATCTGTGACTTCTTCAATATCAACACATATTCAGAACTTGTTATTGGTAACCGTATGGCCTGGCATGGTGGGGCAAACCAAGTGTGAGGCCAGCCTGGTCTGCACAGTAAGTTCCAGGACACTTGGAGATACAGAGAGACCTTCTCTCAAAAACAAAACAACAAAGTACTACTAAGATGGTGCTACTAAGCACCATCTTTCAGGAAGGTTTGTTAGGCAAGAGATCCTGGTACCAGCTCTACCACTAACTTCCAAAGAATCTGAACCTGTCTCAGCATCTGAAAAAACAAGAATTTCTACTCTGCCTTCTTACAGGGCTGTTTACAGGGTAATATTAAATCTCTCTACCTGCTGAAACCTCCCTCTTTTCACCTGTCCTCCCATGCAAAGTACAGTCCAGTGACATCTACAAACATGTTTTAATGCTTCCATGCTTCTGCACATCTAGTGCCTCTGCCTATGATAAACTCTAGACTCATGTTTTTCAGATTTCTGCTCTTTGTGGCCTCAGGGAACTTAGTACCTTCTGGCTTCCTCCAACAAACTTAAGAGTTCT